CATCCCCCCTTTATAGCACATGGCCCTGGAAATCTTTTTTGCTCCCCTGGTTTCTATAGCAGAATAAATGAGGACTTTGGAATCTGACAGAGCAAGATTCATCTCCTGACTCTCCAACTAATGGACTAAACTTTGGCAACTTAAGTTTTATGAACCTCAGTTTTATTATCCATAAAATGAACATAATACTATCCCACAATCCCTTATCTACAATGCTGAAATCCAAAAAAGCCCTCAAAACTGCAAGTTTTTTGTGAGTTTAGAGCTAAGAATTTTGGTAGCAAAAGCTAATTGGATTAACGCGGGGCTACTCTTCTAATGCTACATTCGCTTTACCCAGCCACGCAGTCCCCTGTGTTTCGTCACACAAGAATTGCTAGCCTACTGTTAAAGGGGGCTCAGCAAAAATTGAAAAGGAAGAGGAGAACCTGCAGGGCATGTCCACTGTTGACTGTAAGACCCTTGTGATGGCCCTTTCCCACACAGAAGGAGGAATGACTTTCATCAAAATAACTTTTCTTCTTTCTATCAAATTAGCAGATATAAATTTAGAACTGGAATTTTTCAATTATTCTCATCTCATACATGACTCCTCATACATGACTTACTCTCGATTCTTTGGTTCATTGATGTGCTCTCCCAAATTCCGGATGAACTTCAGCAGGTCACCCACGGTGTCCCGATAAACGTTGCCTTTTTTATAATAGTCATTCATGTTTTCCATCACAAATTTGTCAATCTAAAAAAACATAACACAGAAATGTGGTAGCAACACAAAATATATCCTGAATGTTAATACAAAAAGGCAGAATACAAATTTGAATATATGTCAAATTCTCCACTAATTGATAAAGCAAATTAATACAAAGAAAAGAATGGAAGTAAGCACCGCACACCACAACGCTAACCGTAGTTGTGTTTGGATGTGGAATTATAAATAACTTTAAATCCGTGTATCCATTTTCCAAGAGAATTGTTTTCATAGAAATTAACTACATTAAAACATGGTTTAGGAAATCGTTGGCTACTATACGAGGAAATTTGCTCACTATACTCTACAGAAGCACTATCCTTGTGGCCACCCTTCCAAATTCATACTTGATTACATCTCCTCCTTCAAGAGGGTTGTCCTGACTGAAACCAGGCGTTGCAGCCATTGCCATAGTGAGCGTGGTTGTTCTTTGTTTTGTTTTGTTTGTAATTATGTTTCCAAAGGTTACATGTTTCTCCTTGTCCCTAGGTGTCCCAGGGCAGCTGCTGTCATATTAATAACGCCTTCCTGGGCTTCCCTGGTGGCACAGTGGTTGAGAGTCTGCCTGCCGGTGCAGGGGACACGGGTTCGTGCCCCGGTCCGGGAGGATCCCACATGCCGCGGAGCGGCTGGGCCCGTGAGCCATGGCCGCTGAGCCTGCGCGTCCGGAGCCTGTGCTCCGCAATGGGAGAGGCCCCAACAGTGAGAGGCCCGCATACCGCAAAAAAATAAAATAATAATAATAATAATGCCTTCTTCTTGTAGATGGCTCTGATAGGTAGAAAGAGTCTGGAGTAAGAGAATAAGATGCAACAACCATGAAGCCAGAGGGTCCCTTAGGAAGAGTAACTGGTGACTAGAAGCCTGCCTGGGGGTACTATGTGTGGAGCACATGTGAGAAATGCTGAGCATGTATGTGTGTGAGAAGAGGCAGCCATGTGAAGAAGGTGGAGTCCACACCGGAAAACTGGTTGCACGCCCAGGAAAATGGGCAGATCACCAAAATCAACAGGACAACAAAGCTGAAAATGAAAACACAAACAAGACTTGAAGTCAATCAAAATTCCACATATGTCAGTGAAATTTAAGGGAAAGAACCAATGAACTGGGAGGCAAAAGAACAGAATTCTCTTTCCAGCTCTGCCAACCTCTGGCTTTCCAGCCCTGAGTATTTGGGGTTCCACCTCTGAGCCTCAACTTCCTTGGCAATTAAATGATTTGGTGGACTTGACGGCATCATTAACATTGTGCAGTGAGCTGCTTTAGCGCGTGGCCTTTTTTTTTTTATTTCCCATTTTTTTATTGAAGTATAGTTGATTTACAATGTTGTAATTTCTGGTACAGCAAAGTGATTCAGTTATACATATATATACATATTCTTTTTCACATTCTTTTCCATTATGGTTTATTAGAGGGTATTGAATATAGTTCCCTGTGCTATGCAGTAGGACCTTGTTGATTAAATACGTTTTTATATTTTTATTTTTAACCAGTTTTAAATGTTTCTCTAGGGGAATTGGCACATTTAATATTTGGTCTCATTTGTATTATCTTTTTTTCTGTATCTCTATTTTCCTATTCGCTTTTCAATTCTGTACCTTCTATTACAGTAGATTGGGTATCCTTTTTGTCATTTGAAGTACAATCAGAATAAAATCTTATGTAAATTATCTGAGGATTAAAAAGTAGTTCTACCATAATTTTTCATGTTTATAAATAAAACTGAGGCTCCTTTCTCTGGATGATAGAGTCTTGCGTCTTTGGGTTCAGCCCCATTTTCTCCAACCCCCTTGTCTCCCAGGTTCCTCGTTGTTGTATCTTGTTCTCTGGAAACACTTTTTTTTAAAAAAATTATTTATTTCTTTTGTGGTACGCGGGCCTCTCACTGTTGTGGCCTCTCCCATTGCGGAGCACAGGCTCCGGACGCGCAGGCTCAGCGGCCATGGCTCACGGGCCCAGCCGCTCCGCGGCATGTGGGATCCTCCCGGACCAGGGCACGAACCCGTGTCCCCTGCATCAGCAGGCGGACTCTCAACCACTGTGCCACCAGGGAAGCCCCTGGAAACACTTTTTAAAATTACATTTTTGCACCTTAGAACCCACCTGTATCATCACATCTGATGACTGATAACATTCCATTACCTCCATAACCTTTATCTCTCTAGTGATATTTAGCATTTTATTTGTACTTTCCTCTTCATTCCAATTCTGTCCTTCCTTCTTATGCCTCTGGACCTTTGGGCTTTGATTGATAATTTACCCAACACCACTGCATTTTCTCAAACCTTGCTTCTGCTTTCAAACAGAAAGTAAAGGCCAGATAATTAACCTTCAAGAGAATGACTTTCCTATATGGTCTGAAAATAATGCTCCATTTAACACTGAGTGGAGAGTGAGAAAAGAAGGGAAACAATAGCTTTCATCACCTGCTTCTTCTGTGCTTTGTGCTCTATACTTCTCTTATTTCTACTTTTGCAACCACTTTTTTTAGCACTTCAGTCTTGAGGTTGGATTTCTCCTTTCTGTTGCCTGTAGTACTGTTTCTCTGTCTCAGACATTAAAAAGAAAAAGAAGATGACAATCTCTATCAGCTACAGGTTAGCACATGGCCTTTAAGCCAGAGTGCCCAGCTTCAAATCCTGCTGCACCCTTTACTGATTCTGTGCCTTTGAAACAAATCACTTGTCTGTGCCTCAGTTTGCCCACCTGCAAGACGGAGCTAATTGCCTCAGAGGCTGTTGTAAAGATTACCTGTGGTTACTCATGGAAAGTCCTGAGAACTACAGCTGCCATGTAGTTAGCACTACGTGATCGTTAGCTATTACCATCGTCTGCTCTGGTTTCAAATGTCTTTGTTTCTACAAGTTTAATTTTTAGCTGAACTCTTATAGACATTCATTTAGCAAAGAGTCATGGCACACCTACTCCATGCCAAGAATACAATGACAGACAAGACAACGGATGGTCTCTGCCCTCGTGGAACTTACTGTGTAGCAAGAAAGAGAGACGTTAAGCCAGCAATTATGAGTGTGATATGTGGTCTAGAGGCAAGCAAGGGAAGGAAAGCAAAATGAGATGCAGAAATGAAGAGGTTTGGAAGAAGCAAGAGTCCTACATCAGGCTTAAGATACAGAAGCTGCTGGTCTCACTCAAAGACTTGAGAGTTATGGATTTTCCCATAATGCTTTGCCCATGTCTCTGGGGTACCCAGCATGTATCCCACAGCCATCATTCTGTGGGTCTCTCCGCCCCACATGGATGCTGTACTCTGTTTTGTATATCTCTGACCTTGCATGGGCCTAACACATACTGGTACTTGATAGATGTCTGCTCGCTAATAATAACGAAAGTTCTGATAGTACTGACTAGACTGAAAGGGTGATTAATTTTTATGTTCCACTATATTGAGTGGACCTTCTCTGGAAGAGGAGGAATTTGAAAGATCATCTTTTTTTTCTTTTTTTCACTTTCTGTTCTCTCATACAGAAAATAGGTGTGTATATGGATGCTCAGGCAGGGCTGTGCGCCGACAGCGGAGGCAGCCAGTCTCCCTAGGTGGAAATGCCCCGTGGGGGGTACCTCCTCTGGGCTAAACTCTATTTAACCAGCTGCTCTTGTCACAGTGGAAATAGAATTATTAGTCAGACCTCGCTCAGAAAACAAGGCTTGAGAGAAAGAGAAAAGAAGAGAAACGAGAAAGGCTCTTGGGCTGTGACAAGGCCATCCTAAAGAGGAGCCTGGATGAGTCTCTCAGGAGGGCCTGGCCTGGAGCAGAGACTCAAAAGGGCAGAGGGGACCTGGGATGGGAGGAGGGAGAGGAAAATCCCCTTTCTCACCACTTGGTTGGGCCAGGCCCATAGTATAAAAAAGTTAGGAAAACCAACATAACACATGACACAGATTCTTATTCCTGGAATAACTCCAAGACCATAGGAGTTGTTCACACCTTAGTTGTCCACTGGGCAAAACTTGTGGAAAATTCAGATGTTCCAGGTTGCAGAAGCTGGAGGATCTTGCCATTAGCATTTCTCGTTTTGATGTCTGATTCATTTCCCACATCCCTAAGGGTCCTGTAGCGGCTGAGAATGACAGAATCATCACGGTTGTCCCATCCTTCCCACTCTTTACAGAACTATTAGATTTTGGCTTTTGATAGGAGTAGTAAAAGCATGTCTCTAAAATCTGCATAAGGGGAGAGCTCTCTCTCTCTATGTTTTCCCTCATCCTTTTTCTATTCTTCAATGGAGAAAACCAGATCCAGAGAAGTTAAGTCACTGCTCCAATGACACCCAGCCAGGAAATGCCAAGCTGAGAGAAAAGCCTGGGTCTGCTGACTCCCAGCCTGACTCCTGCCCACCTCACCGTGATGGTTAATTTTATGTGTTAATGTCACTGACCACACAAGGCCCAGATTAAATATTCTGGGTGTGTCTGTGAGGATGTTTCCAAGGAGATTAGCATTTGAACCAGTGGACTCAGTAAAGCAGATGGCCGTCCCCAATGTGAGTGGGCAGCATCGAATCTATGGAGGGCCTGCCTAGAACGAAAGGGGAAATTCGCCCCTCTCTGCCTGGTTGCTTCAGCTGGGACATGGCTCTTCTCTTGCCCTCAGCTGTCCCAGTTCTCAGGCTTTCAGACCCTTACTGGAATCTCCATCTTCAGCTCCCCTGGTTCCCAGACCTTTGGATTCAGATTAAATTACACCATTGGCTTTCCTGGGTCACCAGCTTGAGGATGGCAAATAGTGGAACTTCTCAGCCCCAATATTGCATGAGGCATTTCCTTATTTTGTACATATATAAAGAGCCCTGACTAATACACTCACTGTCTCTGTCCTGGAGGCCTGTAATATACACTCAGTTTTCCTTACCTCGCCCAACTCCAAAAGAAGGGATGACCCAGCAGGCCACTCAGATGGTCCTTCACATTGTCCCCAGGGAAGAACAGGTGATGAATGAGGTCCCAAGTTTCCTCATCTGGAGAAAGTTGAATCAACTCTCCAGTTCTTAGATCCTTCAGACTCTCAAAAGAAATGTCTCCCTGGTTTACCACGTACAGGACCAGCAGTCCCAGGGCCTACACAAAAGCCATAAATCAAGTCAAAAGCGCTTATGAATTATCACTCTATTTGGGGAACTTTGTAGGGTGTGGCACAGGCTATGAGCAAATGGAAAACGGGTAGAATCTCGAGGAGATTCCCCAGCCTGGTCAGGGAGAGAAGGCATGGGCTTGTGCATAGAGAACTCTTCAAGGTAGTATAGTTTAGGATACTACCCCTTCAAGGTAGTATAGTTTATAGGTTTAGGTTTATAAGGAACAAAAGATAATCCCAGGCCAGAGTTGTCAGGGCAGACTGCTTAGAGGAAGAGGAATTTGAGCTAGACCTCAAAGTACGGATAGAATTTAGATAAACAGGGGAAAGGGAGAAGGTTTTAAACAAGGGGGATGCTCAGAGTCTGGCTGGGAACTGGGACTTTGGGTCGGGCCTATGT